GACCTCTCGAGGTCCCTTCCAGTCCTAGAATCTATGAATCTATGAATTACCAGCACGCGAAACCTTAAATTAGAGTGACTAAATGAAGACTCGGCACACCGCTTCTGAAAGGTTGCCGACCCCTGATCTAGCGGTACTTGCCAGTACCCCTTGGTTAAGTCTAAGGTAGAGATGAACTGGGCACTTCCCAGTTTCTCCAGTAGCTCATCTGTGCATGGCACTGGATAGTTGTCTGGGCGAGTTACACCATTTAGCTTACGGTAGTCCATGCAAAAGCATATTTTTCCATCTGGTTTGGGAACTCAACCACTGGAGATGCCCATGCACTTTCAGAGGGGTGGATTACACCCATTTGTAGCATGTCCTGGATCTCCCATTCTATAGCAGTTTTGGCTCTAATTGCGTGAGCATTACCTGTGTCAATGGAGTGGTATTCCCGTTCGGTCCGTCCTCGGGTGGCTGAGAACATTGGCGCGAAGCTAGTGCACAGCTCCTATATCTGCTGTCGCTGTGTACGTCCTCTTTCTACAACAAACTGGGACCTATTAGAAGAGCTGAGAGGCGGTGGGTCGCTCCGTGCCGCCATCCAAGCTCCCTGGAGGCTCTTATCTGCTTCCTGCTCTGCCTGGAATTGTCTCCAGCATTAAGGGAACATCAGTTCCTCACTGGATTGTGGACTTGGGCTTGGTCCCTCTGGAAGCGATGTAGATGATGGGGTTGTTTCTGTTTGTGAACTGCTTTCCGCTGGTGCACTTGGTTGTATTTCAGGCTCCTGCTGGGCCTCTTGCACAGGTTTAGCTGCTGCTACCGGTGCAGACTCAGTGGTGCCCTCTGATGTTGGAGTGCAGATGGGATTGCAAGCACCTATAAGACACACACAGCACTGCACCCATTTCATTATCTAACCTACAACCCACACCAACAGCTGTGCACCCATTTGATTATCTACCCCACCCCACATTCCCACAGCTCTGCACCCATTTCATAATCTACCTCCACACCCAGAGCTCAGCACCCATTTATTATTTACCCTACCCCCAACACACACCCACAACTCTGCACCCATTTCATAACCTACCCCACCCCAACAC